CTTCTTGTCGCCATTTATCGCACTCCCGATCAGTCCCCGAAACAAATTCTCCTCAGGTGTCCGCCATCTTTGCACACGTCATTTTGTCGGACCCCGAACGGCCCAGACACTTTCACCCCTCCTCCTCCTATCTTTTCGTCTAGCATTTCGACAACCAATCACCCCGGGTAGCTTTGGGAGCATCCAATCACGCATATGGGCAACTATGGGAGCGTCCAATCACACACCAGGTAACTATGAGAATCCAATCAGAACGCACCACTAATTACCTAATTATCTCCGGCCACGCCCCTCAGCCAATCAGACCGCTCCATTTCCACGCGGAGATCCTATCTTGACAGTTGGAGGCCACGCCTCTGGCGCCAGTGGTGGGGGTTTGTTTTGATGCCTCATAGCAGCCCACATACTACTACTTCCATGTCCTGATATTCCAGTGGTTTTCTCCTGCATATTCCTCTTCACTTCTTCAAGTTCACGCCTAAAAGTTTCCAACTCTTCCCGAATGATTTTTGCAATCATCGTCTTAATTTCATTCTTACATGCTACTTCATCTTTTATCTCCCTCACTGTTCTAATCAACCAATCAATTTTCACCTCTATTCCAGTTTGTTTGCTTGCACCTGATGTAGTCACTGCTATTCCCGTCGAACCCGTCGATCCTGTTGATCCCAATCTGTCTCTACTGCCACCCGTTGCAGGCGCTTTTTTCATTCCTGTCTTATCACTGTCGCCAATGATTTCTTTAAATGGTCCTTCGCATCTTACTAATTCATCCTGCTTATTATATACTTTATGCTTGAAAGCGCATCCCGGATGAAAGAAGAATTTAACACAGGCCGTACACTGCAGCACAACGCTTTTTATTTCCTTCTTGCACGCACAGCAATGATACTCTGCATAATCAGATTCAAGCATGTCCTCATTACCGACTGTTATCCTCAATATCGATAAATCACCACGCGTTCCACTAATTAGTTACCTTAGCGTCCACGGTCGCCGAATAATCCACGTCGACACTTTAATTGACACCTTTCAAGCTCCAGAATGTCACATATAAATTCTCACCTTTCTTGGACTATTCAACACATTCCGACTAGATAACACACACACATATTTATAGTCGATACTATCACCATGTGGAAACTCTTGTTCCCCTCCTCCCTCTTGGGTCACCGTAAAAACTATGATTTTTACGGAGCGATGTAACACACGTCTGCCTCAAAGAGAGAGAGAGAGAGAGAGAGAGCGAGCGAGCGAGCGAGAGAGAGAGAGAGAGAGAGAGAGAGAGAGAGAGAGAGAGAGAGAGAGAGAGAGAGAGAGAGAGAGAGAGAGAGAGAGAGAGAGAGAGAGAGAGAGAGAGAGAGAGAGAGAGAGAGA